ATTGTTAGTTCTGGAGACTCTGTTCACAGAACATTGTATAGACTTAGTAATTTTCGACGTTGTACTGAGGTTGTGTGTCACATAGACACTCTGAGCAACTCAGGTCCTGAGCTGTAGCTTCTGACCTAATTTGTACTCGTATCTGTGTATTGTCACAGTCGGGGATTTTCTTATGCTGAACTTAGATTCAGTAGTATGGGAGTTTTGTGACTTTTGTGGAGGATCTGCTGATGGTCCCTACTTAGTGTCGTTACATTATCTCCTTGATCCTGATTGTGTCGCAGTTGCTTGTTATACTGCTATTGGGCTTAGCATTCTTTTTATTGTTCAAGCAGACTGTTCTGATTGCCAGTCTGTCAAGAACTTAATTTATGAGAGGACTTTGTCAGTCACTTATTTAAGTCTAGTCGAGTCGTGAGACATAGTGAACTACTTAGAGCACTTACACACAAACTTACTTGTACATATTTGTAATATCTTATTAAATGTTAATGTACCAGACGGTACTTAAGAATTATAAATGTGATATGTGCTTTCAGCACAATAATACTGTACACGAGAGAAGTGATTATTCTTATTTTGTTGATATTGATTTAATTTAATTTGATATACGCCTAGACAACTTAATGATTAATAAATTTATTAAATTTTAATTTCTCTAGTTAGTAGCTTACCAGTTGTAATCCTGAAGCACTAATAATTCTTATTGAATTCTAATGGATAATTGGACAAGGATACTGACTAATTGTTACGAAAACCCAGTAACAGGCTGGATGCTAGAAGGGCAGTCCTTTCTAGTATTCACTGGAGATCTCTAAGCTTTTTAGAAGCGCATTTTTTGTAACACAGACCAACAGATCTTACAAAAATAAAAGTGAATATGTAATTGTAGTTCATTGTCATGATATATTACTGCTTAAGACTACAAATGCAATAGAAATAATAGTATTTCTTACCTTAAATTGTGGGTAATGGTGTGTGTGGATGATTGTGAAGAGAGTAGATATGCAAGGTGTAGCCCTACTGGGCTGAGGTGGATGGTTGTTGGTTGTTGGCATAAGTGGATGGTAGAGGTTCTGGTACTGAAGTCAATAGTTGTATTGGAGTGTGCATAAATTCTGTAATGGATCTCTGGGCTCTTTTATCCTGCAGTACATTATCAGCTGATGGTAAGGCATCATCAGCTGGTCTAGACCCTGTTTCAAAGCACTGCTTCTAGATTTGTCAGGATCCTCTTCAATGAAAAAGTGTGCTAGTTTAACAGCAACATGGAACTGCTCATGTTACTGCTGCAGGTACCTCTTCATCTTCTGTTATGTAGCTCCCTTGTATCTGTGCATCGAGCTCTGCCAACATTTCCTCTGGACTCCCCGATCCAGTGGTTGTATTAGAGATGTTGTATTTGGGGGTAAAAATAAGACTTTTACATGTCGGGTGACATCCAGTAAAGCTGGTGGATGAGTAAAGGAATTATCAAGAATGAAGAGAGCCTTGAATGTAAGGTTCTTGCTGTGCAAGTGAAACTTGACTTCAGGAATAAAGTGATGCTTAAACCAGTCAATAAATATTTCCTCTGTCATCCATGCTGATTGGTTTGACCTCCAAATTACTGGTAAGGTGTTTTTATCTACACCTTTCAAAGCACGAGGATTCTCAGAGCAGTAAATAACCATGGGCTTACACTTGAAATCACCTGATGCATTACCACAAAGGAGCAAGATGAAATGATCCTTTGCTGTCTTGAAGCCCAGTGCACTTTTCTCTTGATGACTGATATCAGTTTCTTGTTGGCATTTTCTTCCAAAAAACACTTGTCTCGTCAGCATTAAACACTTGATGTGGCTCATAGCCACCCTTAGAAATAATTTCCTGCAATTCAGCAGAAAAATTACTTGCTGATGTATGATCAGCTGAAGCACTTTCACCAGAAAACTTAATATTATGTAACTTATTATGCAACTTAAAGTTGTGGAACCAACCTGTGCTAAATATACACTCTTTTTCAGGCCTTCCTTCCTTATCACACACTGCTTTAACAACTGTAAGGCCTTTTCCCTAATTAATATGAAATTAAGTGGTGCAGAGTGTATCCCGCAGGCAACGCGCGCTCCAAATTTTTTTCTCTCTTTCAAACTGAACTGTGTTAATTTTACAAGTGCTGTACAAAAATATGCTGCAATTCTTCAATAGTGCTATAACAAAATGTGCCAAACAAAACCATGTTAAATGATGGTCTACTGTAGTACTTGATAGAGTCCAGTCATGGAAGAAATGTCATGGTAAAACTTTCACTGTAATTACAGTGTGTTTCTCAGTACCTGAATGTCCATCAATGACAGAGCTTGAGTTCCACCTGACTTGTAGAAGTGTTCTCCTATCCATCAGCAAATGGGAGATGGTATAATTTCTTTTACTTTAAGAATCATCCAACATGGTTGTAAGGCAGAGGAGGCTTGAACAGGGATGGTAATCTGGCAGAAAACATTGAAGGAATTTACCATACCTGTTTTAGATGTCTGGGGAAAAGCAACCACCACCATGTGCATAGTTCAAGTGACATGTGAGTCACTCTACAACATGGCACTGAGAGAGTCAGTAGCCAAGATAAATAATGACACATGGATCTGTTTAACTTACTGCCTGTAGAAATGAAGGAGTGTAGGTGCAGAGTGAATACCATCAGCCAACCACTGCCAGGATGCCTGCAAACATGGAGGTACCTGTGAGGCCATAGCCAGACCCACATAACAGCACAAGGAGATCAGTGTCTGTGAGGGGCTCCAGAAGGTGCTGCAGGAAAGAGCCAAGCAAACATCCATGGTGGCGGTCTTCCACAGAAGAAGCAAGGAAAACACAGACCTCACCCGGAGGAGCTGTGGAGGACAATTAGGGATAACCTGGGAACTAGGACTGGCCGAGGGCACCACGGGACCAGTGAACCCAAACATGAATTGGGATAGTGAAGCAATCCACGAGCATGACGAGGTGAAAAGTGCAGATAGGACCCTGGAAGTAAGGATGGGATAACACGGAAAAGGATACATTGCATACAAACAGTAGATGTCCAGAAGGTCAGGCCAAAGCCATGGCCAGGAAGCCAAGCCAATTCCTCCTAACAGCCAAGAGTGTATAGGGGAGCAGCAGCAGACAGCAACAAGCATGTCTGTCTCACAGTATAAGGCAGTGGGACCTTCTACTGCAGATGAAGCCAATCTTGTGAGAAAGCATGCAAGGTCTGGAACTATGTTTGCAGTGAAATCAGGGAACAATGAAGATGCATGAAATGCACACTCAAACAAGTCAAGAGATAGTGTCCTCAATCAAAGGAATAGGCAAGAATACATAAGGAAATCCCACCAATCAACAGAAAATGCATCACTAGTAGATGTCAGTGTTCTGAAACAGATACAAAGCCCAGTATCTTGTGGTTGGCTCTCAAGAGGGATGAAAATGCAGATTTGATGCAATGAAGGAAGAGTGAAAACAGTTCCAAGGCATGCTGGGAGTCTCAGCTGACACTGATCATAGTTTATCTAGTTTAATTATTATGTACCCCATATTCATCATGTGGGCAGCAGTCAAAAAATTAGAGAGGCACATAATAGGTCCAAGCAGCACTTGCTGATTGGAGGTGAAGGTCATTACTGACCATAAGCAGCATATACAGACCTTGCTGGGGTCCAGCAGGGTCTAGAAATATGCTTATCATTATGAATGAGGTAAGGCAGATTCCAGGAGGAATCCTATGGCCTTCAGTCAAAATATGGCTTCTTTCTATTTTCTTTTCTGTATTTAAAATTTACAGTACAGTGACTGCACTCTGCAGGATGAGTGAAGATGTTACAATCCTGGAGGTGGGAAGTACAGTGCCTATACTCTGAAGGATGGGTGAGGATGTTACAGTCCTGGAGGTAGGAAGTACAGTGCCTGTACTCTGAAGGATGGTTGAGGATGTTACAGTCCTGGAGGTGGGATATACAGTGCCTGCACTCTGAAGGATGAGTGAGGATGTTATAGTTTTGGAGGTGGGAAGTATAGTACCTGTACTATGAAGGATGCATAAGGATATTACAGTCCTGGAAGTGGGATGTACAGTGCCTGCACTCTGAAGGATGGGTGAGGATGTTATAGCTGAGGAGGCAGGAAGTACAGTGCCTGCACTCTGAAGGATGGGTGAAGATGTTATAGCTGTGGAGGTGGGAAGTACAGTGCCTGCACTCTGAAGGATGGGTGAGGATGGTATGGTATATAGGATCACTTGCATTGTGATGTTTGCACATATTTCTGATAAGACAAGTATTGAATGAGTGATGGTTAATGTATTTCTTTTCCCTTGAGTCATCCTACCTCAGTGGGCTCATCCAGTGTTAAAAAACTTACACAAAGATAATATGTCTGTCTGGGAGGAGAGCCATACTTGGCCATGCCTGCTGAGTATATCATGTTACTTCAGCTAAGCCAAAATTAAATTTGAATCAGATTAATTATGCTGCTCTTTTGAAGAAAAGAGTTTACAGTAACAAGTGCTAATTAATAACTACTGTATTTTCTAGGTATATAATTATACTTCTCCATGGGGAAGTGGGTTAGAATCCTTCCTCTGTAAGTCATGCATATCATAAGAGGTTACAAAAATGCCAGGAGCAAGGGACTTGTAACCCCTTTTCCCATATACATTAAAAAATTTAAAAAGAGAAGCTTTCATTTTAATTTTTAGGTCACCCTGCCTAGGTGGGCTATGGCCGGTTTGTTGAAAAAATAAAAAATAAAACTTTAAGAAAGTGTTTTTTCTCTTTAGGGTCACTCTGCCTCAGTGAGAGACAGCCGCTGTCTTTAAAAAAAATTCACAAATAATCCGGGCATAGGAAACGAATGCTATGATGATGCAAACAAACCATGGAATCGGTGTGGTTTGAAATGTCATCAAAGGTTCATCTCATAAATGCAGGTTATTTGTGAATTGTTTTGGCCACAGAACAAGCCAAAAAAGATGATCTTACCAGAGCATACAGTTCCTGAGTGGCATCCACATTGTAGTTTCTCCGTTTAGCGAAAATCTTGGCCATGGAGAAAGAGACTGTGTAGGAGACAATGCTGATGACAAAGGAGCCGACAGCTACGGCAGACATCAGCTCAAAAGGTGGTGCTCTGGGCTCGGGTATTCTGTGACAACACAAACAAGTGTGCTTGCTGATTAATTTTCTTTTAAACACAAATGCCATCTACCCCCGACGCAGCGCAACCCGAAAATTATGAACTTATATACACCCTATTATATGTAACACATATACAGTGGTACCCCAAGTTTCAAACAGCTCCCAACTCGAACAATTATGTAAGTGTATTTTTGTAAGTGCTTTTGTAGGTATATTTTTTGGGGGCCTGAAACGGATTAATCTGATTTACATTATTCCTTATGGGAACAAATTCATTTGGTATCAGCACTCGAACAGCCTTCTGAAATGAATTAATTTCATATCCAGAGGTACCACTGTATATATAAATGGAAATAAAGAATTGCATAAAGATTATAGCTTAATAATTATGATAATAGCATCAGGACACTATAAACTTAAGCATGTTATATATCATCCCAAACTAGAGTAAGGAGTTAAACAATTCTAGGAGAATATAAATATAACGTACATAATCACAGATACACAGCCTTTCCTCACTAAACCACGGAATTCCATTCTTAAGAACACGTTGGTAAATGAATTCGTCGCTAAGTGAGTTGCATACTATAATGATAGTGAGTTTGTGTCAACCATCTTTGATATTGTTTTAATGTCACCTTTGCACCATTTATAACATTCTGGTATATTTTTAAATGTTTATACAGTAGTGTACTGTATACTGTAATAAACAGAATAGAGGAAATCAGCTCTAACATACATTATTTGGGTATGCATACTGGTCAGAGAGCCCATCGTAAGTCTGAGCCATCGGTAAATGAGTACACAGCTAAGTGAGGAGAGGCTGTATACACATTTTTTTTTTTTTAATACAATGGGTCTGAGTGGTCAGTGTGTGCAGTATCAAAAAACTCCTGTAGCACGCAGTGTATGAGGAAAAAAAAAAACGTGTTTTTGGTTTAAAACAGTGACTTTGCAGCGTATTTTCATATGGAATTTATGATTGTATTCTCATTTTCTTGGTCTTATTTGTTAGAATGGAAGAAATACAGTTGAACCTTGGGTTACGAATTTAACCCTTTCAGGGTCCGTCCCGTAGATCTACGGCTTTACGTTCAGGGTCCAAACCGTAGATCTACGTCATGAGCTCAGCTCACTCTGATAAACTGTGAGTGGTACATTTGGGCCTAGATATGAGAGAATACATCTATGTGGTATGTGTGCACCACATAAAACAAATCCTGCAGCACACTGTGTATAATGAGAGAAAAAAACTGAAACCAAGATTTTCGATTAAAACAGCAACTTTGCAGTGTTTTTTCGTATGTTTTTTATAGTTGTATTTGCAATTTCTTGGTCTCATTTGATAGAATGGAAGACATATTACAGAAATAGGGATGATTTTGATTGGTTTTAGCACTGGAAATGGCTTGAAACTGAGCTCAAAGTAGCAGAAATGTTAAATTTTTGCCGATGTTCAAGAGTAAACAAACGACCTCACACGTCTAATACACGCCAGCTGGTGGGTCTAATATACATTCACAAATGTGATGATGATATTTATACAATTATTACAATATTGCATAACAGTAAATCTTCTATTTTTTGGTGTGAATAAAAATTCATTATATGAATAAAAAATCAAAAATGGGATTTATTTGTAAAGCCTCAAAACGTAACTAATGAACAGAGGAAATGTTAGTTTAGTGCCAGGAATGCCTACATTGTTTATTCTGGATGCTATTTTGAAATTGGAATATTCTGAACTTTGTGTTAAATTGGCCAAATTACCAATTTCCGATCACTTTATTTTGTAGTTGAAACAGTGGACTTGGCGATTTCTTGTGCTCAATCAATAGAATAGAAGTAATACTAGTGAAATAGCTAAGAATTTGGTGAACTGGAATGATGTAATTGGTCGAAAATGGGAGTCAAAGTCTGCAAAATCGCCGACACATCAAAATTCGCAAGAGCATAATTTCGTCAATTTTCCATCAAATTTCGTACTTTTTGTTTTATTGCCTTCACAAAAAGATTCTCTACCATTTCATAAGAAAAAAAAATAAATTTTTTGGGGGAAAATTCTTGGACACTGGGGCACCACTTCAGATTTTGGCCTTGGACCCTGAAGGGGTTAATCCGTTCTGTGGACTTGTTCATATCCTGATTTGTTCGTATGCTGGGTCAATTTTCCTCATTTAAATTAAATAAAATGCAATTAATTCATTCCAGCTGAATTCCTGCTCTTGGGAGGCATGACAAAATAACTCTAATATCAACTCTATGGCTTATTTATCTGTCACAAATCATCTAATATGACATAATAAGCAATATGAATAACACAGAAACCTGATATACACTCTACAATGAATAAAATATGTCATTACATGGATGGTGGAGGGAGGAGGATTGTGGTCGGGAGTGGTTGCGCATTCTTGCTATGAAAACATCAGAGGTGTTATAAGAGAAAACGGAATTTGTGAGGCTAACTGAATTAGATCTGGTGTACATACGGTATTTACATACCTTGGAGAAGAAATGCAGAGCGCATATCCTGTCAGGAGTTTACACTTTTCTTAAGAACTGCCCCTCAAGGAAGGCTCCTTGATGATGGTGAGGGGCTCTTGATTTAGGGAATTGGATCTGTGCTGCATTTCCCCGAATTAAGCCTGAATACCTTTCCCCCAGGCGCTGTATAATCCTATGGGTTTAGTGCTTCCCCCTCAATTAAAATAATAATAATCTTACGAACTATTATGTACAATTTTTATGTTTATCTCACTACATCCTGTGAGCTGTTTCTCCGTCAAACATGTCAACAGCAGCTTTTCCATCTTTTCATTGACAGAGGTCCACTGCTTAGAAATTGCTGTAATGCCCTTTGCTGGCGCTATAGCCTTTATAGACTCCTTCTGCTTTAGTATTGTACATATAGTAGACGGGCTACGCTTGTACTCGACTCGCTAAGCCCTCAACCCTCATACCTAGTCTGTGCTTGTTAATCATTTCTTGCTTTAATTCCATGCAAATCATCCTCTTTTTCTTCTCAGCACTGTTCACTGCACTTGCTTTCTTGGGACCCATGGTCAGAAGAAAGAAATCTGGCAAATTAACTGCACAAAACATAAGGAAATCACGAGAATTCTGCACTGGTGACCATTGTTTTGATTGACACTGCTGTCTGGTTGTGGTGTTGTCAAACTAAATTATACGCAGTACGTACATACATGTACTATTATTATTATAATTATTATTGTACTATACTGTATATGCTTCTAAACTGTTGTGTTCTGAGCACCTCTGCAAAAGCAGTGATTATGTGTTTACCTGGAGTTTACCTGGAGAGAGTTCCGGGGGTCAACGCCCCCGCGGCCCAGTCTGTGACCAGGCCTCCTGGTGGATCAGAGCCTGATCAACCAGGCTGTTGCTGCTGGCTGCACGCAAACCAACGTACGAGCCACAGCCCGGCTGATCAGGAACTGACTTTAGGTGCTTGTCCAGTGCCAGCTTGAAGACTGCCAGGGGTCTGTTGGTAATCCCCCTTATGTGTGCTGGGAGGCAGTTGAACAGTCTCGGGCCCCTGACGCTTATTGTATGGTCTCTTAACGTGCTAGTGACACCCCTGCTTTTCATTGGGGGGATGGTGCATCGTCTGCCAAGTCTTTTGCTTTCGTAGTGAGTGATTTTCGTGTGCAAGTTCAGAACTAGTCCCTCGAGGATTTTCCAGGTGTATATAATCATGTATCTCTCCCTCCTGCATTCCAGGGAATACAGGTTTAGGAACCTCAAGCGCTCCAAATAATTGAGGTGTTTTATCTCCGTTATGCGCGCCGTGAAAGTTCTCTGTACATTTTCTAGGTCGGCAATTTCACCTGCCTTGAAAGGTGCTGTTAGTGTGCAGCAATATTCCAGCCTAGATAGAACAAGTGACCTGAAGAGTGTCATCATGGGCTTGGCCTCCCTAGTTTTGAAGGTTCTCATTATCCATCCTGTCATTTTTCTAGCAGATGCGATTGATACAATGTTATGGTCCTTGAAGGTGAGATCCTCCGACATGATCACTCCCAGGTCTTTGACGTTGGTGTTTCGCTCTATTTTGTGGCCAGAATTTGTTTTGTACTCTGATGAAGATTTAATTTCCTCATGTTTACCATATCTGAGTAATTGAAATTTCTCATCGTTGAACTTCATATTGTTTTCTGCAGCCCACTGAAAGATTTGGTTGATGTCCGCCTGGAGCTTTGCAGTGTCTGCAATGGAAGACACTGTCATGCAGATTCGGGTGTCATCTGCAAAGGAAGACACGGTGCTGTGGCTGACATCCTTGTCTATGTCGGATATGAGGATGAGGAACAAGATGGGAGCGAGTACTGTGCCTTGTAGAACAGAGCTTTTCACCGTAGCTGCCTCGGACTTTACTCTGTTGACGACTACTCTCTGTGTTCTGTTAGTGAGGAAATTATAGATCCATCGACCGACTTTTTCTGTTATTCCTTTAGCACGCATTTTGTGCGCTATTACGCCATGGTCACACTTGACGAAGGCTTTTGCAAAGTCTGTATATATTACATCTGCATTCTTTTTGTCTTCTAGTGCATTTAGGACCTTGTCGTAGTGATCCAATAGTTGAGACAGACAGGAGCGACCTGTTCTAAACCCATGTTGCCCTGGGTTGTGTAACTGATGGGTTTCTAGATGGGTGGTGATCTTGCTTCTTAGAACCCTTTCAAAGATTTTTATGATATGGGATGTTAGTGCTATCGCTCTGTAGTTCTTTGCTGTTGCTTTACTGCCCCCTTTGTGGAGTGGGGCTATGTCTGTTGTTTTTAGTAACTGTGGGACGACCCCCGTGTCCATGCTCCCTCTCCATAGGATGGAAAAGGCTCGTGATAGGGGCTTCTTGCAGTTCTTGATGAACACAGAGTTCCATGAGTCTGGCCCTGGGGCAGAGTGCATGGGCATGTCATTTATCGCCTGTTCAAAGTCATTTGGCGTTAGGATAACATCGGATAGGCTTGTGTTAATCAA